AAATAAGAATGGTTTGGTGAAATTTTAGAATGGTTGGATGTTATATAATAATTGTGGGATGGTATATAACAATAGTCGGATGATATTTTAGAATCAGGGCCGTAGCTCGCCCTTGGTTCCAGGGCAAGCTAGGCCTTGCGCGGGGGATAAGAGGGGGACAAAAGGCAGCTAGTGTGTTGTTTTGTTTTTTGTTTTCGTTAATTTCTGTTTTGAAATTTGTTGGATTCCTGCGTACCTACATGTATATATATACCTATGTATATACATATACCTATATATATAATATTATACCTATATATATATATATATATATATGTAGGCAGCTACGTATTCGTGCCTGGTTAGAATGATAGTCAGCATGCAATTGTCTGGTTATATGAAACCAGAGACGTATAATATGATACGTCTCTGATGAAACTAAGAGATCCATTACGTGGTTAGATTGATTTGTTGTATCTCACAATGCAGACTGATCAAAGGGAGATAATTCCCGTAGAGTATATTTACTTCACTAGTTAATTAGGGTATCTGATATATAATTTTAGACCCACTTGAATAGATAAACTATACAGAAAAGTGTTAGCAGTATAGAGTAAATAGACACATTCACCTCGTCTGTGGCCAGTTTACTTTCACCCACGTGCGTACTCGGTACTGTACGTACTACACAATTTTAAAAGTTGAATTACGTTATTATTATCACTCAGGAGTGGCATCTCACGGTCAGAAAAGTTTCGTACGGATACCAGGGTATTTCACAAAAGCAGGTATTTCACAATAGCCATACAGCCGTCAACATTTAGCTTAAAACAAACGGATTACGTGTGTCAGTGCCAACATGTTGCTTATGGGGCCCTCAAAGGGATCTGCATATAACGAAATATATGTTATGACAGGGACGTATATATATTGTCCCTGGTTATGAGCATTGCAAAAGATGAATAATTCAACACTAACACCGTGTGTTATATCAGCTTGACATTTGTCCCGTATCCTTTGGGCATACAAATAATTTATTAAAAGTTCTCGTACGGCATCGTACAGCCTGAAGCTATAGCGGCTTTCCTGGGTTTTGTTGTCAATCTAGGGCGTGTGTGTTATATCATCCGTCTTACAACGCGAGTTTTCTTTGAATTCCGTGGTATAAATAATAATAATGATATTTATTCGGTAAAAGCAAGATACAGGTACAAATATCACATATGATCACAGATTTCAATTGCATAATAATCACAGATTTATCACAGTATTTAGATTATCACATCAAAGTTAATATCACAAATTTTGGAGCACTATAAATACAATGTATCTGTTTGACTAAGCTTTAACCTAGGATATCCCATGAAAGCTGGGTGGCAGCTTATTTCCAATGGGGTCCTCTAGTATAGATCTTAATTACTTAGATAACAAAAGGTCCTAAGGATTTGACCTTATAATATGAATATAAGATGGTATAATTTCTCGTAATAATATATATATGAATAGAATAAGTTGTAATTGGTCAAATATGATGATGATATATTATTTCATCAAAATAAGATGTTATTTTATTTGACGGTATAAGATGGAGTTGTCATTAGCAAATATGATTTCCTTCTGATAATATATATATGTGGGGCTATGCATGATGTTGTTTCCACTTGTAATATTAAAATATCAGTTATATGTATCACTGTACATATCATAATGCAAGATGATGTCATTCTTGCAGATATTAAGTAACAATATAAGATGGTGTTAGGCCATATACATTTATAATGTGGTACTTGTGTGTAGAACAGACAACAGGTGGTTGGGCAATCCTTACCAACCTATTATCTGTCTAACAAATTATAGCAATTTGGGGTATAATACATATATAAAAATGACTTTTAATAAAATAAAGACTGAGGAATGATGGTAATAAAATCTTCCATAACATTTATAAAAAGTACATATTATATTGGTACTTTAGTTAAAATTTTGGTAATACATCATATATTTTTAGAAGAAGTTAAGAGTCACCCACTGGGGTAGAATAAAAAATTCCTTTAGAAGACAAATTCTTGCTCAAAATCATTTTTTGCCAAAACTTGTAAGTACTTTTTTTTATCTCGCTTTTGAATTTCATCTTGTGATCGACAGATTTTATTGAATGTGGTATATATTATGTAAACAAAAACAGCAGCGTCTGTGAGTTTAAAGGGCAATATTAATGTTGTCAATAAAATTACATAAAGACATATCCCTGGTAAAGGTAACAATAAAGTAAGTATGGCCTATATCTTTTGCAAAATTCGCACCAGACAAACGTCATTAGCACGTCATTTTTTAAAAATTCAAACAGACACTGATACATTTAAAGTTTGCTGTTATTGTTTCTCTACCAAACTCTTTAGCTTGTATTTTATAATTACTGCATTGACAATGACAACAAATTCCAAAGCAGCCACTGATATCGATTTAGGAGGGCTTTATGTTGTTGATGGACAGGGCCGATATAAATACTGCATTAGGTCTACCAGAAGCTGGAATGATTGCATAATGTATCAATTTTATGTCGGAGCTGTGGAGACTACATTGGCTGGGTTAAGAGACGAATGAGGGCTGGGAGCATACACACATTTTATTGATGCTTTTGAATCTGAGCACGCATAATCTTCCTCCTGGAAGTTTAAAAAAAATGGCAAGTAAAATCGACCACTGGGAATTACCCTGCTGGAGGCCCCGTCATAGGACAGGGATAGCCCATTTTACTATTTATAGTTGGCCTGGGTTCCCCGGATGAAGGTAATTCTCTATCAACACAGAAAATGGCTGTCAAAACGAGCTCCTTACTGTTCCGGATTCTGCTGTTACTGTTGGTGATTTTTGTGTTGGGTGAGTACCGATGTATTTTTCACTTGAATGAGTAATTAGTGTTCACAACAAAATTCCATGTACTCGTCATATATTATAAAAATCAGGTCGTTATGACACCCCACCCTCCCTCCCGAGACCCTGGTGACTGTGTGTCATCACGGACTTAGATAATTCCGTGGTGTCATTTCCGATCACACGAAAATTAAAATGCCACTCCACGGATTGTATATAAATGCATTCTGCCATCCGAGGGCGTGGTGGTTCTGTTTGGTGTTGATCATGATGGAATCCCGCAAACCGGGGGGAATAGGGGAAGATAGCTCTACTCTAGCTATAGCTATAGCTATAGTATATAGCTAGCTAGCTTCCTTCCATTTCAGTGGCTTTAAAAAATCCATGTCCCGGCCGGCCCACACAGGGCTTCGTTTCTAATGTCTGAAATACACATGTAACGAACCCCTGTACCCGGACTGTGTTCCCCAAATAATCATTTATGTCAGTTATTTCCAACAGAATAAAGTGATTATCTAATATTTTCTGAAGTAAAAATAACCAGACTTATTAATTATTGTTGTAACCAGAGATGTCAAGCTCATGAAAAGTTCATCTCGCGTGAAGCTTTGGTGATGATCCTTTGTACAAAACCTGCCTCACTAAGCATTTATCTTTGGTTATCACTGTTTTTAACGGACTTAACATAGTTAATGTAATGAGACTATTGTATGATTATGTGGTAATAGCAGTTGTATCAACCATTTTCTGTGATATTGCTTAATAAACAAATTTGTGAAAATTAAACGGAAACAAGGACGGTGCTGCATCGTTACAGAGGTCTTTTCATGCCCTGTTTCTGTGCCCCTCTATTTTTACATAGCTATATAGGCCTATGCATGTACATGCCATATAACTTTCTGATGCAAAATTGTGAGATCAGTTGAAATTTTAAAAATATTAAGATTTTTTTCTGACTTATAGTGTGAGATCTCAACATATTGCAAACAAAAATAATATCACATATATGTATCACTAGTACTAATATTAATCCCTGGCCTTCTATCCCCCGCTCCACCTTATATAATCCACCCGTCGTCAGAAGCTATTTTATTGCAGCTAATTTATCACATAATCTCATATTTGTCATATTCTGTAGCCCCTATTTGTCGGAACCAATGTAGGAGATTTCTGGCTATTATTCAAGGTTATTTCAAGGAACAGTTTTGTGGGTCTCGCGCTCAAATCATTAGATGTGATATGTATGTACATGTATTAAGCATGCAGTGTAAAGTCAATACTTGTTAGAAATATGACAATATACAATGGGATTCAGCAGACAGTGATAAGTTGTGACATATATAAATTACATCAAGAAAAATACCTTTCTGGGCATTTTTCTATTGTAATCTAATTAATCCAACAGAAAGGTTATATCTTAAAATATTACCTTTCTAGATGTGTTTTGAGGGAAGTGATGTGAATTAATTTGTTTTTGCCTCATTTTCTTCAACATACTTGCAGACCTAAATTAAATGTTTACTTTCACTGACTACCCAAACACCGATGACATCAACAAGCTTGAAGTATGTGCACAATGATGCACACTATATCAGGGCACAGAAACAGGTCGTTCAAAAATACCCAGGTATGTCTAATTTAAAACACCTACACCTCTAGACTGTTATTTGTGTATTTGACACGATGATGATCAAGTTTGACATCATTGTTTTTACTGTGACATTTATGACCATGCCTATGACAGACATACTGTAGAATATGTTTGTATGTAAACATGAGTTGCCAGTATAATGCTACATGTTGTGTATACGTACTCCCCTTCAGGTCTACAATAATATGCCTTTAAACCCGGAAACTGTTCGGCATTAAGTGACTACAAAGTCCAACTTCATGATATGTTTGTACCACAATAAACTCTCCTAAGTTCGGTAACCGTCCTTACGATCTTATGATGAACACTGCATGATGTGTGTCATGTCAGTCAGGACTGTAACAATATATTGGAAAACCAGTATATTGCAATATACAGTCATATCATATTGTATTGCAATACAGCAATAATACAGGGATAATACAGGGATAATACAGGGATAATACAGCGATAATACAGCGATAATACAGGGATAACACAGGGATAATACAGTGATAATACAGCGATAATACAGGGATAATACAGCGATAATACAGGGATAATACAGGGATAATACAGCGATAATACAGCAATAATACAGCGATATTACAGGGATAATACAGGGATAATACAGGGATAAAGGATCCCTGTATCACAATAATTTTCAAAAGCTTCTTTTTATGTATTTGCTCACAGGGGCATGGATCGCTTTACTTGTAATATTAAAAAAAGGGTCTCCTATACTAAATTAGTATAGGAGACCCTTTTCTTAATATTACAAGTTAAGCGATCCATGCCCCTGTGTATTCGCTTGGTGTTTTAACTTTGCACATATAAACATTCTAACAGATATCCCAATAACCAATTAAAACTGGCTGTTACTAATAGAGGGAATCAGTTTAAAATTTCATAATCGATGGTTGGTTTGACAAAGATCTTAACTCTATGTCAGGTCCATATTATATATATGATAAGTTATCAACATCCTGACAACAAATTCTTTTTAAATTGAGCACATTTGTCGGATGACAATATATAAGGATACAATCGATCTATACACATCCCTATAATGTAAGTTAGTTTTTATGATCACTAAACCTAGCATTATGGGGTGAGGAGAATTATAATGACCAGACCAGGAATTCAAACCCAGGATTTCCAAACATTTACTGTATGTAGATGGTTACTTTAACCAACTAATCTGTTGTATCACTGAAGATCAACCCGGAACAGTTTCTCTTTTGAGCCCAGAGTTGTTCTGTTAGTTTACCATATGAACTGCTTTTTTGACAGTGTCTATAGCAGATGCTGCCAGAGGAGGAGGAAGTAGAGGAGGAAGGGGCAGAGGAAGTTCAACAAAGTCAAGGTCAACAAAGTCAAGGTCAACAAAGTCAAGGTCAACAAAGTCAAGGTCCTCATCAGGTTCATCTAGATCTAAACGAAAGGGATTTCTTGGATCCAACACCGCGACCAAAGCTGCTATTGCTGCAGGAGTTATTTATGGTGCAAGCTCTTGGCAAAGACGTCGAACTTATTACAGCAACCCTAACAGAGGTAATTCCAAGGTCATCACAACAGTATTTCAAGGTCATCAGGTGTCAGTAAGGTCATGTTCGGGCAATTAATTTAAATTGTCTAATAATGGATATAATATGTAGTAGACAAGAGTTTGGAAATTTGATTTCCAAACAATTACTGTATATAGACGGTTACTCTAACAAACTGATCTGTTGTTCACATTATAACCATACAAGTAACAATAATTGATAATGATAATTTACAACATTTATACAGCAGTACTCCTACAGTGACAGTTATGATATAATAGATAAAGGCAAACAGCCTTATATACACTAGGTCACAAGACGTTTATGTCCATATAAATATATACATACAAATACTATAAAGGGTGTTGTGAACATGACCTCAGTGTCTGGTAGCCGATGGTAAGCTATTTAATAATGTCACTGAAACATTTCCAATTTAAAAACGGTTTCCATAGGTCACATTATGAGATTTTGGGACTCAACAATGATTCTATCTCCGACCGCAGTGATCATGACAGCTGATACAGGATAACAAGCTCCTGTAGGTATTTGGGAGCTGTTCCATCCAGTGCCTTGTATGTGTACACCAAAATTTTGTACTGGGACCTGTATCCTACAGGTAACCAGTGCAATGAATATAGCATAGGTGTGATTTTCTCTCTCATTTGAGTACGAGTAACCAGACGTGCTGCAGTGTTCTGAACCCTTTCTGCAGACATCTAGTTATTTTGTCTGATATACCGCAGAGAACAGCACTAGCATAGTCCAACTGAGAGGTAACAAGTGAATGCACCAAAATCCCTCTAAAATGTTCCTGATCTGGTGATAACGGGATTTGGCAATAGCATTCGCTTGTTTCTTAATTTTCAGTGAAATATCAAAGCCCTAGGTTTATAATATCTGGGACATGTACAGTCTCAATAGTTCTATCACCGACATTGAGCTTGTATGCGAGAGCAATTGTTTGCTGACACTTTCGGGAAAAAATCGGTTATATTAGTTCCTTCCTTTTCCTGATTGTGCTTTAGCATATTGGGCGTTCATCCAGGTACTGATGTCTGTCAAACAAGCTTCCAGATTTTCTGATATTGTATCCCAACTCTCCTGTGGTTTGATGATCATGTAAATTTGTGTGTCGTCAGCATAACAATGGAAGCGAAGGCTATGGTGATGACAAATCTCTCCGATCAGATTTGAATAGAGGCAATATTTTTGTTGTCCTTACTGACCCTTGACCTTTGACTCAGCCAATGATTTGTCCATGATTGTGGTAATCAAAAGATTAAGCAATGCTTCAAGACATTGTGCTAAATTAGTGGGAAGCGTATCCAGCTCAGAAGATTGCGAGGTCATGATGATATTGCGCAACTCGTCCTGGGTTGTTTGTGAGAGCTTTGTAAATGGTTCCCCATCAAATTCAATGTCAGCAGTCATGACAGAGATATCATTGTCAGCAGAAGTGTTCACTTCGCCAATATTTTCCTGATTTTATTCAGAAAGTTATCACTGAACTTGTTTGACAAGTCTTTTTCAGAATTACAGCTTGGTAGGATGATTTCACCTTTCTGACCCGTAAGGGTTTTGGTGAGTCTAAGAAACTGTCTATGGTCCTTACCACATTGTTCGATTCTTTCCAAATAATAAATCTTCTTTGATTGAATCGAATGAGAAGTAAACCAACTAGCCCACATTGTCCCTATAAATCTGTTGGTAGACGGTTAATTTAGTTTGCCATTGTCTCTCCAGTTTTCTGTAGTTTTGTTTTTCCACACAGAGGTTTTCGTTATACCATGGGGCATTTGGTCTTTCAGCTATCAGTCTTTAGTCTGTAAAAGTGAATCATTCCGTATCAGCACTTTCATACCAGATATGTATGTTTCAAAAAGATCATCAACCTGACCTTCAGTAGACTGAACGGCAGAAGAAGACTGAATGTCATTGTTGAAATATGGTATTGAAATTTCGCTGCATTTCTGTTAGCTCACTTCTCTCCTTGTACGATCTGGCCTACTACAATTCAGTGTTGCATGGACAGCACGGTGATCACCAGATTGGTTCCTCTTTACATCACTTAGACATGGATCCATCACTGAAATTGCTCCATGAATGACCGAGTTATCTTCCCTTGTTATGACCACATCCAGTGTGTGGCTATGGGTGTGTGAAGCTTCTGTGACATGTTGTATCAGACCCCGAGAATTAAGTAGCCCAGAAAACTGATGTCATCAACATTAGATAGATCGTCTAAGTAAAAATAAGATGATGTACTTTAATATTTGTAAGAAAGATGCCTAGATTTTATCAATGAGAAACTATTTTTGAAATCTTTCCATCGATGATATGTCTTCAAGTAAGGGGAACAAACCTGTCAATACACAATGTTTATCACAATGTCTTCCATTTTCATTCAGAAACTATTTCTGTAAAGTTGATTTTTTCAGTGGTCAATATTCCTTCTGATACAATTACAACTAATGTAACTTACACAATGTCTGTCTGTCTGTTTGTGAAGTGCCGACTGCCTGCTATAATAACAAGTACCAGACAAATGAGTACGGCAATGTGTCATACCTGGGGCGGATGTTGTGCCCAGGTGATGGGGACGAGGATGATGCTGAGTACTGTTGCGGAGACGAAGGACAGCAGACATGCTGTTCCTACTTTGATGAGTTAGTATCACATCTTTTTCCCACACTTAACAAGACATTCTCAATTTTTGCTATAGATAAGATGATTTCCTCTTGATCTGCCTGCAGACTGCTTACAAGCGAAAAGTTACTGGACATTTTAAACTCCAACAAATTGTTTTTGTGCACTTCCTACTCAGAAGTCTCTGACTGTAACTATGGATTAGTGTAATAATTTGTTTAATCTAACTGTGTTGGCCGTGTCATATATATGTAATGTTCATGTTATGACTAGGAGGCTAGATAACAAAAATACAAATGATGGTGATATATGACCAGTAGCATGCTCAGATGAAGAGCTATCAAGTTTCCATTTGAATGACCTAGACACACTTTTAAGGACACATCTTCTCAATTAACAAACAGTATATATAGGGTGGTTGTATTTATCAAGTTGCATTCTGGGATAAAGGGCTACACAAATTGTTCAACTTAATGTCCTTGTTTGACTTTCAAGGTCACAGGGGAAAAATGTGTTTAGAAAAACTTATCATCGCTCTACCGACTTAGTTTCTCACTTACAGGGTTACAGCAGTAGAATCATTCACCCCCTTGAGCTCCTAATCACCAACAGGGGTAGAGAAATAGAATCCATCACCCCCTTCAGCTCTGATCGCTAACAGGATTAAAGCAGTAGATTCATTCACCCCCTCCCAATCACCAACAGGGTTAGAGAAGTAGAATCCATCACCCCCTCCCAATCACCAACAGGGTTAGAAAAGTAGAATCATTCACCCCCTCCCAATCACCAACAGGGTAAGAGTAGTAGATTCATTCACCCCCTCCCAATCACCAACAGGGTTAGAAAAGTAGAATCATTCACCCCCTCCCAATCACCAACAGGGTTAGAAAAGTAGAATCATTCACCCCCTTCCAATCACCAACAGGGTAAGAGTAGTAGATTCATTCATCCCGTCCCAATCACCAACAGGGTTAGAGAAGTAGAATCATTCACCCCGTCCCAATCACCAACAGGGTTAGAGAAGTAGAATCATTCACCCATTCACGGTCACCAACAGGGTTAGAGAAGTAGAATCCATCACCCCCTCCCAATTACCACCAGGGGTAGAGAAATAGAATCCATCACCCCCTCCCAATCACCAACAGGGTTAGAGAAGTAGAATCATTCATCCCGTCCCAATCACCAACAGGGTTAGAGAAATAGAATCCATCACCCCCTCCCAATTACCACCAGGGGTAGAGAAATAGAATCCATCACCCCCTCACAATCACCAACAGGGTTAGAGAAGTAGAATCATTCACCCCCTCCCAATCACCAACAGGGATAGAGAAGTAGAATCCATCACCCCCTCCCAATTACCACCAGGGGTAGAGAAATAGAATCCATCACCCCCTCACAATCACCAACAGGGTTAGAGAAGTAGAATCATTCACACCCTCCCAATCACCAACAGGGTTAGAGAAATAGAATCCATCCCCCCCTCCCAATCCCCAACAGGGTTAGAGAAGTAGAATCATTCACCCCCCCCCAATCACCAACAGGGTTAGAGAAGTAGAATCATTCATCCCGTCCAAATCACCAACAGGGTTAGAGAAATAGAATCCATCACACCCTCCCAATTACCACCAGGGGTAGAGAAATAGAATCCATCACCCCCTCACAATCACCAACAGGGTTAGAGAAGTAGAATCATTCACACCCTCCCAATCACCAACAGGGTTAGAGAAATAGAATCCATCCCCCCCTCCCAATCCCCAACAGGGTTAGAGAAGTAGAATCATTCATCCCGTCCAAATCACCAACAGGGTTAGAGAAATAGAATCCATCCCCCCCTCCCAATTACCACCAGGGGTAGAGAAATAGAATCCATCACCCCCTCACAATCACCAACAGGGTTAGAGAAGTAGAATCATTCACCCCCCCCCAATCACCAACAGGGTTAGAGAAGTAGAATTATTTACCCCCTCCCTATCGCGCCAGAAGGGGGAATCTCAATCTTCAGAGAAACATTCTTATAGATGTCAAACACCTAACATGTCTCATAGGTGGCAGCTTTAGAACTGAGTGTTTGTGCAGTATAAAGAACAATGAACCTTTGTATGGGTGATTGTAGTCAGTGTATTGTAATGCTTATTGTGTCAATTTTATTGAATTGAAAATGGTGTGTACATGCAATACCTTTGTGTTGACAGCGCGGGTCGTACGGCTGGTGTAGTGATTGGCATCATCGTAGCGTTTGTTGTTGTGGGCGTTTGTCTCTTCTGCTTGTGTAGACGTAAAACTAAGGGAGGCATGACTCCTGTACAGAGCGTCCGCTCACGATTCTCAAAACCTTCAGGTAACTCCTTTATTAAGTCACAAATAAAACTGAGGCAGCATTACAATCGTTACTAAGTGATTGTAGATTAACCATCACCTGTGTGTCAAAGATTTGTCTGTACTAAGTGATTGTAGATTAACCATCACCTGTGTGTCTATGATTTGTCTGTACTAAGTGATTGTGGATTAACCATCACCTGTGTGTCAATGATTTGTCTGTACACCTTGTTTGACTGATGTGTTTCTTTATATGTACTCTAGGGGACAATAATGTGCAATATGAAATCATTTTTTAATAAAAATAGATATTATAAAAACAGTATATACCATTAGGTTTTATAACACAATGATACCAAATGTGTGCTTTCAACAGATCGAAGTCATGAGATGGCAGCTGTTCCACTGAATCAACCACAGGCTTCACCCAACATACAATGTAGGTAACAGCTTCAACTAAATCTCCCCTGGGTTGTATAATATATCTCACATGTAGACATATCTTCTGTGTTGTAT